GAAAGAACACACTGATGTTTACCAGATAAAGTCTTTACTATCTCACTTTTCTCTTTAATCATGCGAACATTTTCTGATTATCTCTGAAGAAAATGAAAACCTGTCATAACTTTTCACTCAGAACCAAAAATGTGCATCTTATGCTGTTCTACAGTAATAGAAGGAGGTCACCTGTATCTGTGTTTGTGTCCCAGGCACAGCAGCATCTAGACCTCAACACATCTGCTCGGGTACTGAGTAAACTATGCATACCTAACGTAATGACGGAGTCTGTGCCTAACAGGCCTCTGGACTATTACACATGTGCCTTTCGCAAGTCAAAGATGAGCAGGTGGGTTAACTTCTGCAAACAGTTGGATCAGATCACTGCTGCGTGTTTTGCTGAATGTACGCCTTTCTTCAGATTCCTTGGCTGGGAAGATCACGATACATATTTCACAAATACGCAGAGGCACCGTGTTGTAAGTAACACAAGTGTGACAATAGCAGTATACTGAATGTATCGGATGTATATTTGAACTAACAGACTGAGAGTTTTCTTTCAGGTCTACGAGATTCTTGCCAGGACAGCATATGGGAAAAGGAAGAAGGCTGAAGTCGGAGTGGACAGACTGTTAAATGAAGGGGCGTACACAGCAGCTTTCCCGCTGCACGAGGTGAGTTATTTTTAGCTGTTCTGTACACTGAAATGTGTCGTTTTCTCTTTCTCATTAGCAGCATGTTTTTTCTCTTTAGGGGCCCTTTCAGCTTCCAAAGCACGAGGTCCGACCTGACGAGCTGAACCAGAGGCAGGTTCTCTACTACTACTGGGCCCGCTGGTGCAAATGGTACAAGTATCAACCACTGGACCATATCAGGGAGTACTTTGGAGAGAAGATTGCACTCTACTTTGCCTGGCTGGGTAAAATATATATTCTTATTTCTGTTGTTCAAAAAATTTGGCTCATTTTTTTACAGATAAAAAGCCCACTCCTTCCTAAATCCAGGAGGATTACTGAATCCAGACCAGAAGGTATCACAATAACTAGTAATGTTAATTAAATATTTCGATTTTGTCATTATTGCTAAAATGAAAACATTATAAATATCTGTGCAACTGTTCAGGTTTTCTCCCTGTCGACAAGTAATTTGAGTTTAATTAACTGCTCAACATAAGCGTTCTATTGATATCTCAGTAATTTTATTACCTTGAAGCACAAACTAAAGCAGTTTTTGCAGATTATTTGGTGGAAATCAATTTAAATTTAGTAGCTAACTATAATTTTATTACAATTTTGGTAATTTGATTTGAGTCTGATGGGGGCCAAAGATTTCTCTATTTAGAAAAAAACCCGCTGTTCATTTTAATAAATGGGAAATACGTGGAGTCTGTATTTCACGCCAGAATCATTTAAAATGATTAGAAATGGATCAAAACTAATACAGGACAATAAGCAGAGTGCTCACATAAATAAACATACTGTATGATACAGCAATCTAAGCTACAGCCTCCTGGCACTGA